CAGAAATTTGAAACTCTTAGGTTTCCAGTAAGTTTATCAAATGAGCTAGGAAGGTTATCTCACTAACAGGTAAAAAAATCTCAAGGAATTTTTGAGACCTTAAAAAGGAAAGAGTTCACCTAGATTTGTTAGGCAAAATCTGTAATAAACCTTTGGTGTGAGTTTCCCAGCCCTGTTTTATATTACAAGTTCAGTCTGAGATTCTATAAGTGTTTCAGCAAAATAAAAGTCTATAATCAATTATGGTTATATAAATCATCAGACCAAAATTAGTGAGAACACACCTATTTTACAAACTAGCCTTAATTTGGCTATATTTGATAAAAATGAGGGTAATTTTAGGGAGAAAAATATATTGCAAAAAATGTTAAATCCCAGTTTGTTAATGGAGGTCTGCATGTAGTAAGACTCATTTCTTCTATAGTTCTTTGCTGTTATGTGACGTTAATGTAAAATTTAATTGAATTCTTAAAGAACATCCTAAGTTTGTTTCTGAAGCTTTTCTCAATAATCTATCTTTGGATGAAGATCAGATGCCTCATGACCTGCAACCAGGACTGGAAAAAGACATAATTTAAGAGACTGTCTCCAACCGGGATGGAAGGACTTTTTATCAGGTACTCTTAACTAGCTCATGAACAATGAAACTGAAGAGAAATTAACTCAGATTAATTCCCGCTTCCAAAGGCCCCTACACTGGATTGGTCTATAGAGAAGACAGCTGACCTGATTTCACCTTAAAATGATGCTCAAACAGGAGAAACTACACTACATCAGGATGAAAAGACAACCACATCAGAGGTAGACAGCTTGCCCAAGATGCTGGACCTGATTTGTATGATCATTTATAATGTTTTCTTGACTTCTTACACCTTTGCATATAAATCAAATGCTTTTCTATCATAGGCCTGATCCTATGCTAGTTTTAGAAATCAATCCAATTGTTGGGTTTGTGGCCAATTACCTGTGTCTAGTTCTGGGTTACCTTGGTAAATTTCTCTACTACAAGGCTCTAACTGGTTGGCCCTGAGAAAATTCACTTAAAAAAAAAAAATTATAGTCCTATTCAGATCACTGTGATACTACTAGATGGGATCCCCTCACCGGGCCAATTAATAATGCCTGCTCTGACTCTGGCCATAAATTTGAGCCTTTTTCTATTCCTCAAGCTCAATCAGAGCAACAAGAAAAGTTTCAGCAAAGGAGAAAGAAATCTCCCACGATTATGAGAAGGATTTATTAGATAACACCAGGCTATGGTAATTTAGGTGTAAAGTCTCCTCTGTGTTGGAAACAATTAAATTATACTAAGGATAATCAGTCTAGTAACACTAGAAAACTGGGCTATGTGCCTTATAGACGGTGGTGTCAATGTATAATTTCCCTAAAAGGTAAAGATTCGTACAGAGTAGACTAAGTCAGACGACCTGGGATATACTGGGCTACATCTAATGGAAGCTCTTAACTTAAGTCTTACTTGTGACTTTACTAGTACTGCTGGCTATGTTCTTTGTATTTCACCTGTTTTACAAAATTGCTGTTTCTTACAGTGCCAAATGTGTGACTGAGGCCTCTGATAGAATAATATATAGTTCCCTATGAGATCGATCATGATAACAGTGTAACTCTAGATATGGAAAGAAGCAACAAGAGGGAATGTTTTCCTGGACCAAGAGGCTAGTAAGACAGGTGGTCCAGAGAATTTTGGATACTGTTTTATGGCCTAGTCCAGTAACAGCACATTGAGTGACCTGTCAACAAAAGTTTGCCAAACCTGAGAATGGACATTCTCAGCACCATGAGATAAAATGGTCATGAAATGCCCCCCTCAAAATCATGGTCAAGTTTGTGAGCAAAAAGGGGCTCTGCCAACTGAAGATTGACACTTGCCATCTACAGAGGTTAAATCATGGCCACTGCAACTGCTGACTTTCAATGGCCCTGAAAGGAGTTCAGGGTAAAAATCAGGAATGTGGCACTCGGTGCTCTGAGAAAAACTAGCAGAACAGGCCTTCAGATAGTTAGATCTTTTAGGGAGATTTTATGAGTCCCAATTCTTGTATCTTCTCATACCTAGAGAAACACTGACGTCATTAATGGTGACATCTGCTTTGGCTATTAAGGAAAATTTTACAATGAAAAGTCAAAATAGAGTACTCAACTATGGTTCAGACATCCTGGGAAATAACTAAGTGTTACTATGGGTGTAATTTCAGATTAGACATTGTATTGCTAAACACTTGAGTTTTCTGAGTCCTGTCACGCTTAGATGCCACCATTCCCAAAACAATGTCTGCTGGAAGCTAGTAACTTCTACCTTACTTTTTATAAAACTAGGCAACTGGCCACCTGGCTAAAAGTCTCCCCGAAGTGCCAGGTCCAGACTGGGTTTCAGGCCTATTCTTCTAAAAAGAAAGAGATTTATTTTGTCTATTAAAATTCCAGTTATCCCTCCTCCAGCAACTACTAATTGGGTCTGTTACAACAAAATGACAGACCAAGGGATTGAGATTTTAATCATACAAGGCTCAGATCTAGGACTTGGAACTCAGGAATACTTCCAATTGAGTGTCTCTTTTACGAGCTGAGGCAGTCCTATGTCCCATTTTGACAGGAAGTTATCACAGTCATAGTTGCCCTGTTCCCTAAATTAAAACTGAGCAGGACTCTGTGGGGTGGCGACTCTGGAGTACAGATCTGCTGTGTGTTCTCCATCTCTTATCTGTAGGATATAGGCTTCATTCAGCCTCCTTGACTTTCCCTGAGTTCCAAAGGGTGGATTCAAACAATTGCTAATCAGGGAAGGGAGGGAATACAGAAACAGAGGAGAAACAATCAAATGGTGGTACAGCCTTGAGACAGGGTCCTAGTTCCTACTCAAAGAAATATGCATAACAATGTCTTTTGAGTTTTCTACAGAACTGGAGCCCCCACCCAGGTGGAGGGTGGTGACTTCAGACTAAATACAAGATTCCTGGAGCACATCTCTGTTGCTTCACCACCAGCCAATCAAAAAAAAAAAAAAGTCACAAACCCTGCTGCCCTCACCGCAAGTGTTGCCTCCTGTTTCCGGGGACCAGTGATGACCGTCCTGTTAGGTCTCCTGTTTGGACCCTGTCTATTTCATCTCTGAGAGACACCAAGAGTTTCAAACTAAATTGCTGTTATTACAGGAGTGAAAGCTGGTTTCAGATGTGGAACACCCCAACTTAGATCAGGGAGAGAGAGACTTCTGCTCTGCTAGGCAGGCCTACGCCCATGCACAGCAGGAAGAAGTTACAGAAGAAAGAGACCTCTGCCCCAATTCCCAAGAAGTATCTTGAGTATGAAGTCTCTCAGGGGGGAGTTGTTAGGGGAAGCACACTGATTGAAACCACCCACCCTGGCCAGGCACCATAGTAACCATTTGCATGAGTTGTTTTATGACAGGAGATCCTGGTAAGGAATACGGAGCTAATAAGCCACCACCAACTGGAAGAGTTCGGGAAAGGTCGAGAGGAGACCCTGCCTGTTGGTCCACTTCCCAGAATCCCTCTCGCTAGCATCCTTCTTGGCTGAGTGATGCGTGCGCACCAGGAAAGACTCTGAATTAGAATGATTGGCCAAAGACCACCTGGAAACTAATCCCATCACTATAAAACCCGAGACTGTGAGTCACGTGACAGAGCAGTTCTCCTGGGTTCCCTCACCGTCCTGCTCTCCACCCGGGTGCCCTTTCCCAACAAAATCTCTTGCTTTATCAGCACATGTGTCTCCTCAAACAATTCATTTCCGAGTGTTAGACAAGAGCCCAGTTTCAGGCCCTGGAAGGGGTCCCCCTTCCTGCAACACCAACACCAGAGAACTTGGGACTCAGACCGGATATTTCACAGGGACCAGTAGTGGTCATAGTAACTATTTCTTTTGCTATAATCATATTTTATACAGGCCTGGGCCCCACTTACAATTTAATCTGTAAATTGTATTAATTGCCAATTTTGTGTTACTCCTGTTCATTTCAATCATAGTACCTACAGCTGGGAACAAATCAAATTTCATTTACTTGATAATGCCTCTCTGAATGCACAATTACTGCAAAAAGGAAATCTTTAAAACTTTTTCTAAACGTCTGCCTTCTTCCACTAATTTGGAAACTTTGGCTGAACAAATTATCAGGGCTAGACCCACAAGGATGGTTTCAAAGTATTACACACAGCATCGTGTCTAAAACTGTAACTTTGGTAACTGTCTTGATAATTGTATTTGTTGTTCGTCGCCTTTCTATAAGGTTGGTTAATACCAAACTCATTTGGTCAGGACCTTTTTTTTTTTTTTTTTACAAATATAATAAAATAGGGGGAATTGTCAATATCAGCCTCTTTCTCTCTCTTACTTTCTTATTGTCGACTCCGGACCACCAGCTTCCGGTCCATTAAAGGACCAACATCGGGGATATCACAATGACACTCAGGAGGTTTGAGCTCGAGACTGAATCATGAGGTGGGCACCTGATCTCACAGGGCTCCTTGGGCCCAGCGCCTGGGCCCAATTCTTACACCAGCCCATCGGCCTCTTGCCTGGGTTTTCCAGACCAAAATTGCACCCCAACCAGGTGGCTGAGATGGTAAAGAATCCTCCTGCAATACAGGAGACCCTGGTTTGACTCCTTAATTAGAAAGATCCCCTAGAGAAAGGAATAGCTACCCACTCCAGTATTCTTGCCTGGAGAATCCCATGGACAGAGGAGCCTGGTAGGTTACAGTCCATGGGGTCACAGACAGACATGACTGAGTGACTAACACTTTCACTTTCAGCATCAGCTAAAGCAACACACTAATGGCATTTGGCTGCAAGAAGGGCCCAAGCAAAATGAGTCACATCTTTGCATCCACATCCAGCCCCTTGAGAGATGAGGAAGTGAGCATCCCCAGGCAGTAATGGCATCGCTGTTATCAATGGGCAGCCCACAAGTGAACACAGTTCATGTCCACATGGATAGTGATTTTCAGGCATCAACTTACAGTTTCACATTCCCCCACCGGATCATCACTTCCATTTAGACTGGATTCAGGTGAATTAGGTTCTTCGATATCCAAGTCAGAAAGAACCATCTTCTTCCTTTATCAGTTCAGCATAAATCAAGCACATAAGGATTAACACAATTCAGGAGCTGGGTACGTTCAGTCATGGACCCAAACCCACCGTGGGACACACAGGGATAGAGTGGGAGCTCAGAAAGAAATGACAGGAGAACTCCGAGGAACCAAATGTCAGATGAAGACAATGCTCCATCCCAGCTCAGGGGTCTTCAAAGACATGCTTCTGGATGCCAAAAGCTTTTTTATTTTTTGTTTGTTTGTTTGTTTGTTTGTTTGTTTTTCAAAAGCTTTTTTAAAACTCTGTATTTCCCAAAATGATTACAGGTTGAACATTAAAAATTTTTTTTCACCATAAATTTAAATAGCAACAAAGGATGAAATTTCTAATGCATTTTAAAATTTATGTTTAAAAATAAAATTACTGTAAGACTCCTTCCAATGTAGATGAGGGATTCTAAATATTTGATCATTTAATACCCAAATATATATATATATATATATATGTTGCATAGCTTGCATGATCTTAGTTCCCTGACCAGGGCTTGAACTCAGGTCCCAGCAGTGAAAGTGCTGAGTCCTAACCACTGGACTATATGTTAAAAATTTATAATTTTTTTTCTGGGACCATAAACTTCTAAGTATTAAAACTTATAATATGTAATAATCTTGGCTAGAAGTAAATGAAAATATATATCTCCTAGGACTTGAAATACATGTTATAAAAAGTATAAAGCACTTACCTCCAATATACCTTCCTTTTACTTGACACTGTAGTGCTGACTAGTTGGCAGAAATGCAGAGTTCTCCTCCAACACCGCCTTGGAATCAGGCAAAACATACAAATTAGACCAAAACCCGGTGAATACAATACATAACAGTGCTCATCACTATACATCCCATTGCTGAGAATGGTGAAGATGCAGAGGGGATGTGCTTTGAAGGAAGTTCACAGTCCCCCGAGCCCTTTTGTATACCTTAAATATTTAAATTTCTAAGGTTGAAGGATAAAGCAGAGAGACTTGCTGTCAGTGTATTGGATCAACACTTTTTTTTTTTTCCTGATGCTCTTCTTGTATCTTCTCTAGGGACCGTCTCCCAAGGCCTATGTGGATTTTGGATCTACATTGAAAGGGCAAGTTGAAAGGTCAAGCTTGCTTAAAAAAAAAAAGTGTGGGAGGGATGGATTCTGTTCATTGTATAGTGAAAGGTGATCAACTTTAAAGAATACTTATGGAGTCTGGCAATTTCTTTCCTAACCACCACCCACCCCCATGCCTTTGGAAAGATTTCATGTGTCCAGGGGCTGCTAGGCTGGAGCTGGGGCCCCGGGTTAAAGACCACAACTTCAGCTGACCTTACTGTACCCAGCCCAGTCATGTGGCATCATTGATCCCCAGGGCTAGCTCTCGATGACCATGGGTGCTTTGAGAACGAAAAAGTCCCTCTCTTTGTTTCATAAAGTGACATTCCGTGAAAACCAAGTCTTGTGAGTTTTGTCTGTTCACCTTAAATATCTGTACCTATCTCAGACAGTCTTTGAAAATCAATTTGGATCTTTGGGGCAAGGCCATCTCAGTAATAAAAATCAGTGTTTTACTTACTCGTCACATTCAGCATCTGGCTGCACTTGTTGAACAGACCAGCCTAAATAATTCAGTCCAGCTAATCCTTTAAGAATTTATATTGGCTTTTTCTCATAGAAGTGTTTCACCTTCCAAAAACTCACTGACATTTAAATTGTTTATGATTGTAATAGGGAATAACAAATCTGACACCATATTAGAGCTGTTTCTTTTACTTTTACCTTTATATTCTATTGTTAGGGGAAGAACACTGACTGAAACCGCCCACCCTGGCCAGGCACTACAGTAACCACTTGCATGAGTTGTTTTATGACAGGAGGTCTTGGTAAAGAACAGGGAACTAATAAGCCACCACCAACCGAAAAAGTCCGGGAAAAGTCAAAAGGAGACACTGCGTGTCTGACCACCTCCCAGAATCCTTCTCGCTGGCATCCATCTTGGCTGACCAAGGTGCCAGGAAGGACCCTGAATCAGAATGATTGGCTAAAGACAACCCAGAAACTATCCCATCACCATAAAACCCAAGACTGCGAGCCACTTGGCAGAGCAGTTCTCCTGGGTTCCCTTACCCTCCTGCTCTCTGCCCGGGGGCCCTGTCCCGATAAAATCTCTTGCTTTGTCAGCACAAGAGTCTCCTTGGACACCCCATTTCCAAGTGTTAGATAAGAACTCAGTTTCGGGCCCTGGAAGGGGGTCCCCCTTCCTGTAACACTACTGCTTTTGCCACAAGTTAATCATTAAAGGGATGTTCCCTACAGCTTAAACACAATGGCCCCCAAGCCAAGATGTGAAACTATTTTTTTCAGCTCACAAGAAGCATCCTGACCCAGCCGCCTGTGAAAGACTACAGTAAAGAAGAAGTTAACACATCCCCTCCTACTTCCCTACTTCCAATAAAAACTTGATTTAAAATTTGACTTATTAATTCTGAGAATGCCACCCCTGGCTGATCTGCAGGTTGCAGGTCTCAGCGATGCCTGGGCTTTCGGTCAGCCCCCAGGGCTGTCCTACCTCGCTCCACCCGGAAAACTAACTGCGCCCGGCCCTACACCATCGCATCCCGCTGCACAAGCTGCGGGAAGCAGCTCTCCATCACCTGGGCGACTTGTACTCCGCGCAGGGCACTTCAGTGCATGCCCCATCTTCCCGGCCAGCCCCGGCCCGGCTTTCTATAGAGAAGCTCCCGCAGGCAAAACCTGTTCGCGGAGACCCTCGGCTCCAACGTCGCTCTTTTCAGCGAGACTGGGGAAGATCCCCGGGACCTTGCGCTTCCAAGGATGCCTCCCCGCCCCCGGGGTTGACTTGTTTCACTTGCACTCCTTTGCTCCCTCGGAGCCCCTCTTTACCTGCTCTGCTCCACCTTCCTATTTCTTCAGGCAGAAAAATCGCCAGTGCTTGGAGGACGGGAGGGGCGTCATTCTGCTTTTGATGCATCACTCAAGAGCCTCAGCAGCGTGTCGGTGGGAAAGCAGAATCAAGTATGCTCTGAACCCAGCCAACATTGCATTATCATCATCATGTCATCGTCACTATTGCGTGCTAAGTCGCTTCAGTCGTGTCCAACTCTTTACGACCCCATGGACTGCAGCCCACCAGACTCCTCTGTCCATGGGATTCTCCAGGCAAGAATTCTGGGATGCCATCACTATTAATCATTTTCATTTCTACTATTACTAGTCTGCGCAATACCCGCACCCCAGAGCCCTCAACTCCCAGCCAAACGCCCAAATGCCCCGACCGGCGGAGGGTGCCCAGACCCAGGAGCGCTACACTTACCCGTCCCCAGCGCAGTGACCGGCAGGCTCCCAGCGCTCGCCCTCCTCGACTTTAAGCAGCGCGAGCGCCGCCCCTAGCTCGCCGACCCCGCCTCCCCCTCCCGCTTCTGCTACCCAGCCTCGGGGAAACGAAACTCCTAGAAAACGTTCAGGGCTGCGGATCAGAAAGGAAACCGAAACCGAACCGGCGGCGCACTTTCTCACTGGCGCCTCCCGAGGTCCCTGCGCCCCGCACCCTCAGCTGTATCCTCTCAGAGGCACTCGAGGTGCGCCCCGCACCAACAGCACCCCGAGGCGCTTGCGGGAAATGCAGATTCTCGGCCCGCACCCAGACCTGCTGCATCAGAAACTCCGAGCTTTAGCCGGCCCTTCTGACGTTCCTGGCAGTTTGAGAACCTCTGTTCAAGCAGCCCTGAGTCATCCAAAGCCGAAAGTAGCTTGGAGCCTAGCTGGGCCCTTAACCTTTGGTTGTTTGAACACAGGCATTGATAACTGGGTATCAAACTCCTGCTGTAGGCTCACTAGGAACATTCCATCACTGGTAGGGATTCTAAAGCATGCTAGGGAGCTACCCCCTTAGCCCCCTCTTCACCCAGACCTACATCCCTACATCAGGCTCCTTTCTCAATTTTCATTATCCTCTTCAAGCCCCGCCCCCGCCCCCCGCTTTAATTTCTTGACCGCTCTGCATGTCATGTGGGATCTTGGTTTCTTGACCAGGGATCGAACCTGTGCCCCCTGAATTGGAAGCAAAGGGTTCCCTGGACCACCAGGGAAGTCCCAAGCCCTCCCTGAAGTTTAGCTCATTTGATTTCTTTAGGATGGAAATGAGTAGAAAGTGGGGGACAAAGGTCAAACAGACCCAAAGATGAGCCCCCCGGGAGGGCTCTGGGAGTGAGGAGTAAAATTTCATTTTGGAAAGGGCTGGCACCCCACCTCCATTCTCCTTGGCTCAGCTAAACAAGTATCTTCCCCACAAAGACTCCTGTGGTTAGAGAGGGTCTCCTGCCCCCTACACAAAGACCCAGAACTGCTCCTTTTCCAACTGCTGGGGTCAGATGTAGACTTTAGAAAAAAAACTGCACACCTAAAAAAATTGAGAATTATATTTTACTTGGTGGACTTGCTGAGGACTTACCCTGGAAGACAGCCTCTCAGATTGCTCTTAGGGATGCCTCCAAACAGGTCAGAGAGGAGCCAGAATATATAGGAGTTTTTGCAACAAAATCCAGGTAGTGAAAAATATTAACAAAGTTACTGTTAATTAAAGAAAAAACAGACATCTCAAGTTCATAAATTCAGCACTTTTCTATGTATGGGAAGATGCAAGAGTCTGGGCTCCTTGAAATTATTCCTTTGATATACACCTTAGCTGTCTAGGGCCAGCATCCCACTTTTTCTCATCCTGAATCCCTCAAGCATATACAGTCACAGGTCAAAAAATGCAGTGGCTGCTGGCGTGATGGCTGCAATATCTTTTGTCTACTGATATGACAAATGACGTTCTTCAGCCACATCGGTAAAACTTGGGTGGAACCAATTTCAATATGCTGGCACCCAAAAGAAGGGGAGGGGGCCACACAGAGCAGCTGCATGGCATGAAGTCTGGCATGTTCTATGGGGCCCTTTCCTGGGGTCTAATGGGAGAACACAGGCTTCCCCAGCAATTATCAAGGAGCCCTTGCATGGCTGCTTACCCATCCAGGCCTCAGTTACTTCCTAGTTACAAATGAGAAATGGAATATTTCCTGCTATATCAGTAAACAAGGATGTCACAGTCACCAGCCATTGTAGCCACAGCTTACGGTGAACTGGTGAGCCCTAAAGGCACTCAGGAAGGAGAATACTTGCCATCTAGCAGCCATCACGGCACTCTCTTCCAAAAACACAAGAGGGGATGCTACACATGGACATCACCAGATGGTCAATACTGAAATCAGATTGATTATATTCTTTGCAGCCAAAGATGGAGAAGCTCTATACAGTCAGCAAAAACAAGACCAGGAGCTGACTGTGGCTCAGATCATGAACTCCTTATTGCCAAATTCAGACTTAAACTGAAGAAAGTAGGGAAAACCACTAGACCATTCAGGTATGACCT